AAACTAAAACAAATAGCAGTATTTTAAAATTTCAAACAGGATTTATTCAAGAAGTTACTGATTTCTTATGCAACCAAATATAGTCAGGTCACCTAAACTACCAAGAAAGAATAGTAATGACACGTGAATCATGTTCATCATTTGTCATGAAGTAGAAAATACATGGCTTTTGGCATTCTCAGTGCTGTCTACAAGCCGTCTACTCTTTTCTGAGAACTATTCTTTGGATATAAGAAGATTTCAGTCCACCTTTTATTACTGGATGATGTCTGCTGATTGAACCATCCTACTTAAGATGGACCAGTCAAATTCTGTGTTTTAGTAATTTGAAATTGAGATTTGCAAAGACCAGTCTGTTGTTGGTGACATAATTAAGGGATTGAGCAGATGGTTGTGTACTGCTTAGCAATGTATATGGAGAATCAAAGAAATGTGCTTACAAAGAAAAAAGAATGAAGAACACCAACATAGACAGATGAAAGCCAGAAACCATCCATGACAGTGTGGTGCCCAGTTCTAAACCTGATTTTAGAATCCATGAGAAACCTATTTCCTTTTAATAATCCCACCTTTGTCTCTAACCTGGCCTAGCAGGTTCACACTTCCTTGATCTGACCCAACTTAGAGCTCCCATTTGAAACCCAAAGAGCTATTTCTATGAAAAGTAGCAATACAATCCTTGCTCATTAGGAGAGGTTATTCTGGCGTTTGTGGCAGTATTAGCTGCCAGGGAGGTACTTTTAGGGGCAAACTCCTAAAATTAACAGGGAAAAGCTGCTGTCCCTTTAAATGAGGGACAAGTTGTTCTTTTGTTTCAGATAAGACCCTCCAGAGAAAACCACAAGGAACCAGTTAAAACCAGTCAAGGCCTCCCAGCCCCTTTGTAGGTGACCTAGAATAAACTTTACTCATTATAATCTCATCATAAAGCTGAGTTCCCTGCCCATTAGTCCTTCCCCAGTCAGCCATTTTTTTAATATTTACTTTTTAGTTCTAGTTGGACACAATATCTTTATTTTATTTATTTTTATGTGGTGCTGAGAATCAAACCCAGAGCCTCGAATGTGCTAGGTGAGTGCTCTACTGCTGAGCCCCAACCTAGCCCACCTCAGTCAGCCATTTCTTGAACAAGAGACTTATGGAGAAGGATGACCTTGAACTTCATGCTCAGTAAAGTGCTCACTTCTACATGCAACGATGATGTTTCCCCAATAAAATCCTCTTTCTTTAAATTTTTTTTTTTTGGTTGTAGATGGACACACTATTTTTATTTATTTTTTAAAATGTGGTGCTGTGGATAGAACCCAGGGCCTCACACATGCTAGGCAAGCACACTACCACTGAGCTACAACCTCAGACCTCCCCTTACTTTGTGTGGGTAGAGGCAGTGCTTTGGAAATTATCTCAAGTGCTCTTCCTTTCTGCTGCAAATAATAAACCTTATTGCACTGTTTTATCTCCCTGTAAATAATACACCTTATTTAACTCTCTTCACCATTGCACTTGGTTACAGCATACGTGGCAAACTGACGCGGAAAGTGATTCTGTATTCATCTTGGCTTGATGAAACTTCCATAGGCAAAGTTCTCAGAACATATGTATATTTGGCGGTGCTGGGGATTGAACCCAGGGCCTTGTGCAAGCACTCTACCAACTGACATATAACCCCAGCCCCTCAGAAAATATTTTGAAGAAGCACTTTGGATGAAAACTATCTGATTGGTCTACACAGATATTTCCCTGCTGTTAGAGTTAAAAATCTCATTGGAAGCTCATGAGAAATCATTTCTGTCTAGATTTCTTTGTAAGAGGAACTCAAAATTGAATCTGCTGCCAAGTAGAATATAGCAGATATTAATTTGGAGAAATTCTAAGGTAAAATATCTTCTTGTTAATTTCTAAATCAGCGACAAAGTATTTTATTCCATTTTTATCACCATTTGTAAAGCTGTTTTATTTGCAGTTTTAGCTGTAATAGCAAATTATTTAAAAGAATTTATGTAAAGGGTCCCTACTTATTATGATAGTTTCAAGTGCATTTTTTTTTTTTTTGGCACCAGGGATTGAACCCAGGGGCTCTTAACCACTGAGCCACATCTCCAGMCCCTTTTTAGATTTTATATAGAGACAGGGTCTCGCTGAGGCCTTAAGTTGTTGAAGCTGGCTTTGAACTCACGATCTTCTTGCTTCAGCCTTCCAAACTGCTGGGATAACAGATTTGTACCACTTTGCCCAGCTCAAGTACTCTTATTGATATTACATGTTTAAGGTGAAAAAAAATCTTGCTCTGTTCTAGTACTTGGAAAGACTACTGTAATAATAAGTACCCTGAGATGGGTTTTAATATTCTGCAGAGTTAGTGTTCATATGGGCTATTGATTATATTTGGGGAAGAACAAAGACATCACGAATACTACCCACACTTTTCAGGTAGCTTCCTAGTTGCAAGAAAGTGGAGCCAAACAGGCAAAGATCTTGCATGACCTCAGCTCTAATCCTGGAATCACCCTCAGTCCAGTTCACACTTTCCTGGCATGCCTTTCATCTCTGGTGGCAGAGAGTGAAGTGGGGTTGCCAGGATACTGCTGATGAAGGGCAATTTTTAGAAGCATTAAGTCAGTGTCCTGCACTCTGGGCACATTGTGAATGTTAAACAGTAACCATTGGATGGTGTTTATTCTGGCTCTTGCTTTAACTTAAGTGTCCATGATGGGTATCACTTTTTTCTTTCCACTCCTTTCAAATATTAGATGGTTTGTATTTTCTTTCCAATGGATTCAGAAGAATATGGTACAATTATGAGACAGCAAATCATAAACACAAAATGAATATTTACTTAATTAATGGAGAAGAATTGAACTTTCAGCTCTCTAGATCTCTTATTAAAGTATCAAATTGGATTTGCCTCTAAAACTTGAGAAAATTTTGAAACATGGGATGGGACTCAGAAATCCATGTAGCCTGTTTATCAGCCCTTTCCTCTGTGTGCTTGGTAGTCTGAGATATAATCCTAAAGCTGTTTTCAGAGCCATCTTGAGGGATTTATTATTGAGTTATGTTCTTGGACAAGCCTCAAGTTTCCTCATTTGYAAGATGGTAATAATATTTAACTCAGAATCATAGAGCAGAATTTAAGGGAAGTGACCACACATATTGTGTATCAGTAGATAGAAGCTATGATCCCATTAGGCCTCTGGGAAATGGAGTTATGTGCTGTTTTATTTCTTGAAAAGATACTTTTTCTTGGGTCAAAGTTATACAGATACAAAGCACTATACGTTGTATCTTTTAAAATCTTTCCCTTCTGTTCCCCAGCCACTTAAAAATTTCCCTCCATGGGTCTGGAGATATGGCTCAGTGGTAGAGCACTTGCCTAGCATGTGTGAGGCACTGGGTTTGATTCTCAGCACCACATATAAAATAAAGGTTCTTTCACAGCTAAACAATATTTAAAAAAATTGTCTCCATGAAGTCAACCAAGATATTTCTTGTGTATCTTTCCAGATGTCTTTTGTGTATCTAAAAGAAAAAGTATATTTTCCCCACTTTTAAAAAATTTTCATAAATAGTATCATGCTATTGCCTATTTTGCCTTCCTTTTAAGCTTGAAAATTGTCCATTTCAGTAGTTTCCTTATTTATTGGTACTGGGGATTGAACCCAGGGGCGCTTAACCAGCACTTTTTCGTTTTTTTGAAACAGGGTCTCACTAAGTTGCTTAAGGGTCGCTAATTTGCTGGGGCTGGCCTTGAACTTGGGATCCTTCTGCCTCAGTCTCCCCAGCCCCTGGGATCACAGATGAGCACCACTGGGCACGGTTTCTCCTTTTAAACAAGAGTGGCTACGTCGGGCAGGGCTGTGACAGCGAGGGGAGCGAGCCACCGCTACCGTGCAGTTGTGCTCCGATGACCGGTTCCAGCCCTGAACCGTGCTGTTGTGCTCCGATGACCGGTTCCAGCCCTGAACCAGGGGTATTCGCTCATTCAGCCAACAAATGGCCCCGGGGACGCGGCACCGAACAGGAGGCTGGGCGTCCTGTGCTAACCGTGCGAGCCCTCGCTGGCCCTGGGCTCTCCAGATGGCCCTTCTTACGGTGTGGGCAGGGCCGGCCCCCGAGGCGGGCGCGTCCGCGCAGAACGAGGACCAGGGCAGGGGGAGGCCGGCTGGCGGCTGCTCCGCGCGCGGCAGAGAGGGAGGACCCTCCAGCTGGCGGTGTGCCCGCCAGGATGCCAGGGCCGACACCTGCTGGGTCTGTGCCGGCGGCGCGGTGGCGGCCGCGAGGACTCGGGGACCCCGGCCTGAGTGCGTTCTTCCAGGGACGCGGAGCCGCGCTCACAGCCAGCTCCGCGAGTCAGGGACGCTAACAGGCTGGCGCGCGGGGAGCGCAACTGGGCAGAGAACTCGACGGAAAACCCTAGCGTCTCCGGTGCCTGCTAGGAGGTGGTGTCGCGGGAGGGGCAGGACCGCGGGACCCGGGTGGCTGGAGCCGAGGGCGGGGCGGGCGGCGCTGCCCAGCCCTTTAAACTTCTGTGCGCGGGAAACGCGGCCCAACAGACACGGGCGGGCGAGGCCGAGCGGGGCGGGGCGGGGCGGGGCGCGCGCCGCGGCCGACCAACGACCGCCCTCGGCCCCGCCCCTTTCCAAGGCCTGGCCAATCAGTAGCTCCCTTAAATCCTCCCCGGCCCGCCCCCGCGTCCAGGTCCAGGCCGACCCGCGGAGGGCGGTGGGGCGGGGCTCTTGGCGGGCGTGTGTGGGCGGGTGCCGACGTCGAGCGCGCCCACGGAGTTTCGAACGCTGTTGGCCCTCGAGGCAGAAAAAATATGAGCGCGGCAGCCAATGGCGAGGCAGTAGGGACCCGCGCGCAGGTCCGGCCCCGCCCCGTTCCGCTAGAAAGAAGCCCGAGTCGGGCATTGGCTCGAGCGGCCTGTCACTCGCCGCGGCGGCCAGCGGGCAGGCGCCTAGCGGTGGCTGGTTCCGCCCAGGCGCGAAATGTAACGCGGGAAAAGCCCAAGCGGGGACCGCGGCGCAGGTTGTTATTTTCGGGGCTCGGCATCGCGCGTCCTGCTTTCCTGTCACCGCAAGACCAGGCCGCCCGTCGCTTCTCGCCGCCGCTACCTGCATTCGGGATTACAGAGAGCGGAGGGCGGCGTGGCCGGGCCGGGTCCAGCCTTCCTGCCCGGACGGGCCCGCCGCGCCGCTCCGCTCCTCCGAGTGCGCCTGCCATGAGCCGGCGGGCCTGAGCCGGCGTCGCGGAGCAGCGCGGGCGGGCGAGCGAGGGCCGGACCGGGTCGAGAGCGCGGCGCGGCCGGCGATGATCCGCGGCGGGGAGGCGCCGATGGCAGAGCACCCGCCGCCGCCGCCGCCCGTCGTCTTCTGCCACGAGTCCCCGAAGCGGGTGCTGGTGTCGGTCATCCGGACGACCCCCATCAAGCCCGTGTGCGGCGGCGGGGGCGAGCCGGAGCCGCCGCCGCCGCTCGTGCCCACCAGCCCCGGCTTCAGCGACTTCATGGTGTACCCGTGGCGCTGGGGCGAGAACGCACACAACGTGACGCTCAGCCCGGGGGCTGCGGGAGCCGCCTCGGCCGCTCCGCCTGCCGCCGCCGAGCGCCCGGGGCCTCGGGGCCGGGGCGCGCCCCCGCCCGCCGCCTCCGCCGCCGCCTCGGGGGGCGAGGACGAGGAGGAGGCGAGCAGCCCGGACGGCGGCCCCCTCAAGGTGAGCGCGGGGCCGCGGCCCGTTAACGGCGCGCCGGCTGCCGGCTGCCCCGCGGATGGGCGGGGCGGGGCCGGGCCGAGTGGCAACGCGGGGTCCTCTGGCCGCGGCGGGGGCGGCGGCTGACAGGCCCTGACGTCACTGCCGCGCGCCAAAACCCGCCCGCGGGGGGGCAGGGTCACGTGGGCGGCCGGCGGCGGGGTCCCGCGGCGCCCCGCCGGCAGGTGCGGCGCGCTCCGGGCGCGTCGGACGCCGGGTTAGCGGTCGCCGCGTCCTCCGGCCCGGAGCGATGCGCCGGGGGGCGGGAAGGAGCGCAGCGCGCGGTTACTGCGCTGTCACTGATGTCGCCGCGCCCTGCCAGAGGTGTCCTGCGGAGACGACCGGGTCCGGGAGGGGACTTCGGGGCATCCTCCCAGCGGAAGTGGAGCCCTTGCTGCCTTTCATCCATCCAGCCTGTTGCTCTCTGGGAAGCTCACTGGACAGTGGTACACTGGGCGCTGACCGCTAGTGGCTCGCTGTCACCGTAGCGCTGGAGGTGTGCCCGCCTGGTGMGCACCTACATCCTGCAGACCAGCCAGTGGAGGCTGGAGGATGGTGGATGACCTCCCGAGCACACGACCAAGCTGCGGGACATGGCCAGGGTTCTGGGGCCCTGGTCTTGCTGCCTTTCTGTGGCCGTGCCTTCCTTCCTAGACCCCGAGCGCTGGCAGGGCGGCCTTTCCTACCTAGTGGACTGTGCGACTTGAAGGCCTTCCATTCTGTCGGTGCTCAATAAAGGCGCTCCCTAAATATTAGCATGATGAGTAGACGGTGCTGATACTATTATGATACCATAAAAGGTTGATACCAGATTCCATTTATCTCTGTATGAGATAAGTAATTTGCTGAAGAGGTAAATCACCGAGTGGATACGGTGAATCTGTTGGCAGATACCTTATTTACAAATTGAAACAAGTTTGGTCATCACATGAGAAGCAAGAATCCCGAAACTATCGTTTTGGCTGAGGAAATTAATACAATTTGTTACTGCTCACATTGTTATTAAAAAAACTACAAAGTTATAAGAACGGTGCTTTGATATTTTAAATCTCGAGACTACACTTCAGTAGAAATTTGAAAGAGTAGAAATGCTAGTAGTGGGGGATATTAATGAAGGGGACTGTTACTGTTGGCTGACTCTAGGTAGGTAGCCCTAATAAGGTGGCTGGGATCCACCCATCTTAGATATTTTTAGGCATGTAGGCATATTTTTATACTAACATATTTGCATGTTTTAATCCTTTAAAATACACATTTGATTCTATTATATAGTTAAGAGAAAGGCATAGATGTCTGAATGTTTGTGGAGGATTATTTATTATTCAGTAATTAATTTTGCATTATCCAAGATTAGTATTGTCATAGATAAATGAATTAACTTTTTGGTCTGAAACAGACTGTCACGGAAACCTTTTATAAAAGTCGTTAACAAAATGCCTAGGTTTGAATTTTATACATTGTCCACCTTTTATCCAGAGGTAAAATATATTGGAAGTTATGAAGAACATGTAGAAGTGAAAAGGCTGTTTTATAGTTCTCTTTGTTCCTTTCTTACACAATCTTCCATATTTTAACTTTTATAAATTATTTGATAAGCTGATTTTATATTGCTCCTTTATTGATGAAGCAATCCAAATTCAACTCAAAAATTCATTTAACTTCCCCAATTTAAGAAAGATGGGTCTGGTGTATACCTAGTTTGATTTGTGGTCAGCAAATTGGACTAAAGACAGGAAATCCTGACCCCTTTTACTTTGTTTTGCTTCTCTAAATTACTCAGTAGTGATTGAGTCAGTTCACTTTTTGGGAAGATGGGTGACACTGTTTTTGCAATATAGCCAGTGCTGGGAACATGCTCTCTCCAACCRAGCAGAATGCTACTCCGAGGCACTAGCAGCTGTGGACTTGAGAGCATTTGTGCTCATTTAATGTCTGTCTGTTGCCTCTGCTCCCAGGGGAGGTGTTTACATCTGAGTTCTGAACACCCAATGTCTGCTTTTCTTGCTCTTTTGTTTTTTCTTGCTAGACACTGCCTCTCTTGCCTGGGAAAAGAACATCCTTCATCTGCCAACTTATTTCTCATCATGAGATTGCTTAGCACTGTTGGTATATAATTATATATTAATGTTATCTTCTAAGTTGTAGAATTCTGGGAGGGAAGAGGCAGGTATAACTTCCCTCTGCTGCCTCAGCTTGTGCTTCTGCCCTCAACTAGGATGACATTCATGATGTTACAGCTCCACCATGAGACTGGAGGGACATAGTTTCTCAGATACCATCCATCCCTCAAGACCTGCCACTGTCCATCCTTCATCCCCCCTTCTATATCCAAACATCTAGACTGTAGTCTTACAAACAGTTGATTGTTACACAGTAATTTTTGATCACTCCATGTTAAATCTAATATGTTAGCATAGCAGCATCATTTATTGTCTGCCATGAAGTAAGCACTTCATAATGTTAACAACAAACTGCTAGGCTCTGTTGAACAGTCTGAATTACAATTCATTTAATCCTGCCTACTTGATAAGGAAGGAGAAATTAAAGAAGAATCACCAAGCTTGTTAAGATTATATGGTAGGTGGCAGAACTGATGGGGACTTTCCCTTGTTTTAATCCCTGTACCATATTGCTCATGAATATATCACCTATAAGCTGACTATAGTGACTTATTATTAAAAAATAATAAGCCTATGTAAGTAGACTTCTGAAATACTATTTATAGCTCATCTCTATCAGTTCAGATGTTTTAGGTAAAGGTATATAATGATTGGATGAATTGGAATTGAGACTTGGAAAATTGTGAAGATAGGTTGAAGTGGGAGATAAGAGTTAGGAAGCAGATATGCAGAAAATTTGGATCTAGATGTGGAAGTAAGGGAAGTAGGATCAATTACACTTTCTCATCAAGGTACACATGCCTCCCTCTAAGACCTGTTTTTCTTTCCCTTCTAGGTTGTTTTCTCCCTTTATTTGGATTTTATTTATATAAGATTGTGTCAAGGACTTTTAGGTCTTTTAGTCATCACGTGACTAAACACTTTCAAAATCACTAACCTGCCTTCTGGAGTTATTGCAATTCTGTTCTTCAATTACATTTACTAAAGTATGTAACAATTTTGGGCAATGGAATCATTTTCCTTCTTAGAATTTCATGCTAGTGTTGCTTTTTTCATTTGACTCATCAACAGGCTCCACAAATAATCTCCCTTGGCTGTGGATGAGTTCCTGTCATTGCCACAACATACCCAGAAACATGTTTTTATTGTATTGTCACAGCCAGAATGAAAAATGGTTCTCTTTCATATTACTTATTTTAATTTCTGTTGCTAAAAGATGCTCTTTATTCATTTATTTAGGCCATCAGATGGTTAATTTCCCTTATTATTTTCTCAGGTAAAAGAATATTTTTAGTGAACCCTTACCTGTATATGGCCAACGTTGTGTATATTTTACTTCTCATTTGGAAAATGTGGACATTTGCTTGTGGAGGAAACAATGTTCCTTAAAAGTTGCTAGAAAACAGCTCTATGGTTAACTTTGTCTCCCTCCCTGTTAGACATGCTTGTCTTTTTATTAAAGCTAGAAGCAGAGATAATAATAGCTAAATTTAAACTTAAGTTTTTGGTATTAATGAATCAGTTGATTCAAATTGTAGTAGAGTAAATGTTTTTATGTATTTGAAAATATTAGAATCCTTCCATGCTGGGCGCAGTAGTGCACGCCTATAATCCCAGCGGCTTAGGAGGCTGAGGCAGGAGGATAGCAAGTTCAAAGCCAGCCTCAGCAACTTAGTGAGGTGCTTAGCAACTCAGTGAAACCCCATCACTAAATAAAATATAAGAATGGGCTAGGGATGTGGCTCAGTGGTTAAGTGCCCCTGAGTTCAATCCCTGGTTTAAAAAAAAAAAATCCTTTTATGGCAAAGGAGTTGTATCACTCAGGTTTTTAATTAACTGGATTTCAAGTTCATTTCTTAAGAGCCTCACCTATTATTTGTTTATCTGTCTTATAGTTGTTATTATTTTGCTCTCCCCACCACCGCCACCCCTACTTTCAAACCCAGGGCCTGAAAAGCATGCTAGACAAGCACCCTATGACCGAGCTACGTTCTCAGTTCCTATTTTATGTTTTTTTAAGCAAGATTTGCCAGATGTGGTGGCACATGCCTGTAATCCCAGTGGCTCAGAAGGCTGAGGAGGAGGATCACAGGTTTGAAGCCAGTATCAACAATTTAGCCAGGCTGTAAGCAACCCAGTGAGAGCCTGTCTCAAAATAAAAAGGGATGGGGATGTGGCTTGGTGGTTAAGCGCCCCTGGGTTCAGTCCCTGATATATATATGACCAGCAACAATGCATATGACTATCATGGCTCAATAAATGATGGCAGTAGATTCTCTGATTTTACTCCTGCTTGATCTCTCTATTGGTGGCTCTGGGTTAACAAGCAAGCAAGACTAGAGCTAAATGTGGCTAGTTGAAGATCGTAACCAAAAAAGGTTAAAGAATCTGATAACCACCAATAATTTCCCAAAGTTGATTTGCTAAGGTGGACAAGTAGGTCAAGTATCATGCCAATTCCTAGCCTCATTATAACTGGATACTTGTGAGGATTAATTAAGATTGGGGAAAGACCTCTATTATATACCTCTTACTGCAGTCTTAGTGTCAATGAAGAATTGATGAGCTCTTTGTTCCATCAACAATAGTTATTATTAATGGCATGCATGAATCACTTAGTAGGCTAAAGCAGGTTGTAGAATGCAACCTCGAAATCTCAGTCTCAGACTCAGCATGACTCTTGGTATATGTCTGTGATGGCTAATACACATGTATTCCACGTCCTGTTCATTCTAGGTCCTAGAAGAAATCCCCTACCTGGGGTAGATGGGTCTCAAGACAGGGAATAGAGATGGTAGAACCAAGTGATGTTTTCCAAAGGTTTTGCTCAGAAGTCGCACATGT